AGGAATGCCATTGCTTGAAAAAATAGTATTTTTTCTATATTGAAACCAAACTTTAAATACTTCATCATTGTTTTCTTGAAATACTATTGTATAACAACTGTGCAGCACTCATTTGGAAGAATTCCCAAAGCATGTTAAAAACTGAAAAGATAGGGAACGCTTTGCTCAGCATTGAAATACATCATCTTCTGGGCAGGAGTACAGCTATCGTTCAGCAGCATACAACAACATAACATCACAGTTTAGGACAAGGAGTGAAGAATAGCATATCCTAAGAGAATTTTGAGGGGGAAGTATTAATCAATGTTTCTATTTATATAGTACCATAGGCATATATATCACATTTAAAAAAACTATAAACCCAAGAACAGAATTCCTGTAGGAAGGAATTAACAGTCCAAAAAAGCAGTGGTCTATTGGTAAGAATATAACGCAGATAGAAGCTTCGTGTTCTATCTAAATTAATTTTTAGTTGGCTATGAGGTCTGGACAATCAGCTTAGTATTTTTGCCAGTTTTCCCATCTGCCAAATGGGGATGATTACAATAGTTATTTACCTTATAAGGGTGTTAGGAGCATTTGGCCTTTCGTAAGTGTTTCCAAATATTAAAATATATATCCTAAATGTTTTTACAAATGGATGCAATACATGAAAAAGAAAGTGGTGCACATTCATCATGGCTGCATTCCTTCATGGTACAGGTGAATGCTCACGCAGAATTTAACTAAACAGAATGACATTATCCAGGCTGGGAGCTAGCCAGTAATGATTCGCGTCTTTCTGTGTTGCAGTGACCTCAGCAACACAGTGAAAGTCACTGCATGTCCTAAGATTCCTGCAGGGCTCCAAGATGTGTAATGTCCACTTATTAAACAGTCATGGATTTAGTGTGAATTACTGAAGCATTGTCTTAGTTGCTGTTGGCAGTAAGTCTACATAGTACAACCTCAAATGACATTTGAGGTGTATTTCTGCAGCTTCTTGTTTGACATTCCCCACCATATTAAACTTAAAACCAGCTTCAAGTTGGATATTTCACATTTTCCCAATTATTGATACAAAATACATGTATGATTATCTTGTCAGGCTTTTCTTAGGGATAATGTGTGGTGTCAAAGACCAAAGACACTGAAGTCAAGGTTTTCCATTGCCTTCAGCA